ATTTTGTTCTGGGTTTGGTTGTTTTTTTTTTGTTTTTTTTTTGTTATTCAGGGAACCAATTCCTGATGAGTGCCAGGCCTCCCTGAGCAGAACACACCCAGAAAAGGCTGCACTTGAGCAGTGACACTCTGTGAGTGACTCCCACCCCGACCCCAGCCCGTGCTCCCCTCTCCTGGCACACCCAAGGGAAGGATCTGCCCCTGCTGGCTGCCAAGGAACGAGGCAGGGAGGGGAAGGACAGAGCAGCCCAGCAGCTGTGACTGCCAGCACCCTCACCTGAGAGCAGGGGCTGCATGTTGAACATTTCAGCATTGTAGACATCCATCTGCCCAGAGCTCTTGTCCAGCACTCCAACAAAGTACCTGGGGAGAAGGGGGGCAGTGGTGAGTGAGAGGCAGAGCAGTGGAAATGATTTAAATTACAAGGTCTTCCCACACCCCAGCTCTCCTGCCTTCACATGCAGCACTGTAAATAAATCTCCAAGGCACGTGGGCATATAAAAACAGAAAGACTTGATACTCTGAGTAAATGCAGAACTCTTGAAACAACTGAACTGGGTGAAGTGTAGGTACCAGAGTTCTGCTATCTTCAGTATGCCAGGACTTGATGGCAAATTTTAAATTTCCTCTCGGAGCTCAGGATCAACAGAGATGCAGGTAAGCAGCACTTCAGCCCTCAGAATCACCTGTTCACCATTGTTCAGAGGCAGGAGCACTCAAATCTGCCCACAAACAGCCCTGAATTCACAGCTGCACCCCACACATTTGTTAAACTGCATTTATCTCTGCAAGCCCAAGCAGGAACAAACCCTTGGTGCTCCTTTTTCAGCATCTCACACCGACACTGCTCCACTGAGGATGCACCTCTGCTGGATCAGTGTGAGCTGGTGAGGGCATTTCTGAGAGGCTCTGCAGGAGGGAAGCCAGGTCCTTGTGCAGAACCTCTCAGCTGGAAGGGCCCCACAGCACTGACCCTCCAGCTGCTGATGGAGGCAGCTCCTCCATCCCAGCTCCCTCCTGCTGCTGCTCTGCATCCTCACCCCAGGCCTCACAGGAAGGCTTCAACCCAGCCTGATTTACACAGCACAGCTCCCACCAGGTGTGCACCAACACCCAGAGACTCCTGAGCCCAGGGAGGGAGCCCTGAGACAGGGAAGGCAAAGGGAGAAACGGAAAGGGAAAAAAAGGAAAAAGAGAAGGGAGCTCTGTGTATGAGCAGCCACGTGCTGCTCCCCCTGCCCCATACCTGCACAGGGAGTTGCACCTCATGACCTGGCTGCCAAAGTTGTGTCCCACGTAGCAGAGCCGCTCCGTCTCCGAGACCTGGGGAAGCAGAGAGATCCTGGAAAGGGCTGAGGGAAACCAGGAGAGACCCTTGGGAAGGGCTGAGGGAAAGCAGCACTAGAAAGCACCTACTGATGGCAGGCTCAGCCCCCTCCTCACTGAGAACCCCCTTGGGATGCACCTGAGCTGAACAAAGAGCCCTTGGGAGATTTCCCAGCGAGGGCAGAACACACTGGGATCCATTGCCAGGTGTGCCCCACGAGCTGGGCAGCAGCTCCCCAGGGCTCAGCGTGTCCCTGCTGTGCCAGCTGCCCCTGCAG